ATATGAGCTTAATGGTCAAGATTGAATCTGAGCCGATCAGACGCTCATTTCGTGTTTGAATTTTAATTTATGTTAAGATTATCCCACTAGCTCATATGAACATATGAGCCCAATAGTCAAGATTGAATCTGGGCCAATCAGACACTTCATTTCGTGTTTAAATTTTAATTATATATATATATATATATAAGGAAAAGCTTGGGTGAGCCCACTAGCTCATGGAATAGTATAAGCCAAACGACATAAATTGAACTGACGAGCACAGATGTCTGGTAGTGTTTGAATTTTAATTTTTTTCTACAAATCCAAATCACTTGAAATTTTAGTCGTTCTCATCAAGACACACCTAATAAAAATATAAAAAAAAATAATAATTTGAGAAAACAATTGACCAAAGTACCCTCAAAACTTTTTGGGGGTATTTTGGTCAATTTATTTCATATAAAATATTTTTTTTATATTTTTCAAAGATTCACCTATTTGTTATGTATTCCAAATTTCAACTGATTTGGATTTATATAAAAATAAATAAAATTCAAATACTACCGGACATCTATGATCGTCAGATCGGCCCAGATTCAATCTAGGCCGTTGTATATGAGCAATGGTATCATGCAACTGTTGTATAGTAATATGATGCAACAAGGTTAAAAAACCATCTTATGGCCATTTGTTTGATCCAAATTTTGAAATATACACTCTTTTCATTCTAATGAAAAATCACAAAAAAAGAAAAAATTGAAAACATAACCTAGAAAATATTTTTTTACGCCAATTAACAAAGGCCGTTCATTTTGGTGAGATGCTAAGATCTAGGCCTTAGAAATATTATTTTATTTCCAATTTTTTTGGATGGCGTTATTATCATTAGATGAACAATGTTAAAAGAGAAAAAAATGATTTTGAGTTTATAAAAGCTAAGATCTTGAAATTCATAAAATGAATGGTCTAGATTCGTTTGTGGAGATGACTCATTTTGACCATATCTAGGGTTCAAATTTAAATTTTTTTGTTTGGGGATTGATTATTGAGATGAAGAGAGTGTGTGTGCAAAATTTGGGGTCATACAAATACCACAAACATGGTTTTCCAGAAGTGTCGTTGCATTATACTATGATGCAACCGTTTCATTGGATCATATATATATTATTTTCTATATCTCCATATCCTAGCTGTCCGATCTGAATGGAAGGTTCAGATGGTTTCGACTACAATATCACAAGTGAGCCACTAACCGTTTGATCTAGGTCTGACGTCTCAAAGTACTTTATTTTTTATTATCTATTTTACAAATCATACGAAGATGAAATTTGGTAGTGTCATCTTCTCAATGGGGTGCACCTAAAACAATACTAAAAATTTATTTTAAAAAAAATAAAAAAACTAAAATATCCATGAAACTTTCATAGGTATTTTTTATTATTTTATTTTATCATGAATATTTTTTATATTTTTTGCAGGTGCAACCTTAAGAGGAGTAGAGCACTAAATTTGGAGTCGAAAAATACTTTACTAAAAAAAGAAGAAAAAAAATAGTTTAGAGGCATGACATTGGGATTGGGGCTATCTCAACCATCCATTCATTTGTCTTTATATAAGGAGGCTGCAATTATTTGTAGTTATTAGATGTCAAATTAGATGGTTTGAAATGTATCACAAAGTTTAAGTTTTTTTTTTGAAACTTTGAGTCTAGTCACTAACACTCTTACAATCATCTAATTTAAAATCTAACGGACAAGAGTAGTTGTAACCTTCTTGTATTAAAAATAAATAATCTCTTTATATTTTTCCAAAAATATACATAAGTAGAGAAATATGGTAAATTTTCCCTTCATTATTGCCAATACAATAAGTTCAATGTTTGAGTAATATTATGTTTTTCCTGCCGGTAAAACAGATGCTGCCGAGGGTATTGGGAGGGTACGACCCATGCCTTGACGACTATGCTACGGCTTTCTACAACCGTGCAGATGTTCAAAGGGCCCTTCACGTCACCGATGGCAACCACCTCAGGAACTGGACCATCTGCAAGTAACGCTTTTGCAACCTTGTTTGATTAAAAAAAAAGAAAGGAAATATTTTATAGAATTGAGGTGCATTATAAAAATCCATCGGAAACATTTGTTTTAATGTTGAAAAACTCTTTAATTGATTATTTCGAAATCGAGATGTATAAACATGAAAATAAAAAAATAAAAAATTGAGTCTCAAAAGTAGTACATCTTGCAACAAGTTATCTGGACTGTCCATTTTCAAGATTTTAATATGTTTGTATATCTACTTGATTTGAACTATTTTTTATGTTTAGAATTTTATAATTAGAAATGAAAATAAAATTTTAGGCTATCTTAAAAAATTTTACACCAAAATTACATGTTATAATCAAATTTGGAGGTGTGTATTAATTTGATTGTTTAAGGACTGCAACCTTATACAAACCGCATCCAAAAGAAAATATGTAATGAAATACTTTTCCTTATGGTTTGGAATTTCTTTTTTGGGAAATATTACCCTAGAAAAGTTTTGTGTAGCTTAAATAATACTCTGTGTGAGCATATCGTATATTTACTACCTGGGATGATTTTTTTGAACTAAAATTTTGGAAATTGCCTAATATTCCAAAGAAAAAAAATTTGAATTTTGAATTTCTTAACATATCTCACCCTTCAAAAATTGGACAGTTTATATCAATCTTGTGTGGTAATATTTTTTTCAAGCCCATAAAATATGCAATTTAGGAAAAAAAAATAAAAATTATCGACTATAGCATATGGGTGAAAAAGTTACATCCCCAAATTTCATAGTCCTAAAAATACTCCTGAATTTTGAGTTTTACCCAATTGATTAAATGGACATTATGCTCTATCGGTAGCATAAAATCTCTTCTAGAGAGAAAGTGATCTATTGGAAGAGGGCTGAAGTTTGTACAATGTGCCCGTCTTACAAACTATACAAGGCGCACATTTAAATTTTGTCCGAAGATGTATCTTAAATATTTTACATGGCTTGAAAATCTATGTTTAATCTTAATTATGAAATTTAAAATTTTAAAAAATGATACAAATTGAACATATCTATAAGCACTTGGAAATATATGTTTAGATAACTTATTATAAGATGTACTATTTTTAAGATTTGAATTTTTTTTTTTTTTTATCTATATATCTCGAGGATGAATAGCCAATTAAAATATAGGAAAAATATCTCTATACCTCATATTTTTAGGTTTCATTTCACAATAGACTCAAAGTTTTAAAAGATATCTTGAGGCGTAAAAATTATAGATTTTATTTCTTCTAACCCCATGAGCTAATTTAAACCTGTTTTTTCTAGGCCAAATAAATCTAAAAATGCATACCTTTTCTAAAAACGATCCTCCCAAACTTCTAATAGAGTCGAGAGGCTATTGGGAGGAGAGAGAGAGAGTGAGAGACACAGAAGTTTGGGGTATATAAATGAAGAGAGAGAAATGATTGATTTTAAAAATAACATATATTTCTCATATTTGTTTAAGTTAAGAAATAGGTTTAGAGTGACTAGGGGGCTAGAAGATATCTTTTGAAACTTTGGGTTTATCAATAAATGAAACCTAACAATAGAGGATATGGATATATTTTTCCTAAAATATATAGTCTAGATAACTTATTACAAGATGTATTATTTTTAAGACTTTTTTTTTTTCCTTCCATATATCTCGAAGATGAATGACCAATTAAAAGGTTTTGAAACTTCAAAACGCTTTCTTCTATCGGAATTTTGAGGTTCACCTTACTTAAATAGTATAAGGCCATAGCCTTACATAAACTTTTTCCTTCAAAAAGATACTAAGCTACATGTTGTTGACGCATCAGAAATTAGTATTTGGATAAGTGGTCGCAAAATTGGCCGATTAGAATCGGAACCGTCATGTTAGATCGCTACCGGTAGGGTAGTGATTCTGGTTAGAGCCGGTTTTAAGGTACACTAGGTAAGATGACACTCTCCAAAAAAAATCGGGACTGAAACCGGCCGGTTCAATATGAAACCAACGGCTTTTATTCAAAATCGACCTGTTTTTCTAACCGATTCGGTTTACCATTGTTTTCGTATGTTATAATGCCGTTTTAACTTATCAGTCATTATTTGACACAAGCCCATTATTTTTCATATAACAAGATTTTGCAGCTTTTTTTTTCTTCCATTTTGTAATTTTTTTTTGTTTTTTCAGTCAAATATTGATGTTTTACACCGTAAAGTTTATATAGATAATCGATTATTGAATCAAAAGTAAAAAAGCAAAGAGTTCTTAGCGGATTGAAATGGGGATTTTTGAAAATTAGAAATTTCCGCCATTTTATCAAATGCACCTTTAATACCTCATATATTTTCATAAAATGGAGGTCTTTGATTGATTGTTGAAGGATTCAATGTTTACATATTCCAATTTTTCCAAAATGATTGAGATTTGAGGGTTTTTTGGGCCCGAAGTACTGCTGCTTGAAGAACTGTTTTTATCCAAACAAATTGATTCGATCATTTGATTAATTTTTATCGAATTGATCACTGAAGTTTGATCATAAAGGCCTTATCTATCAAATAAACTAGTTAATTTGATTTAATATTGATTAAATGTTTTTATATCGATTTTTTTGCTGCGTTTTTTCCTAAAATTTTCGTGAAGTAAAAAATCCGCGATTTTTTGAATAAAGATCTCAATAATGAATAAATTTTCATGAAATTTGAGGCATTTGAATCTTCGTTGAAGTATGTATCATATCACCATGTCAATTTGTTCAAAAAATGAAAGATTTGGGTTTGATTTCAACTCTAAAGTTTTTATGTTCTTTGGCTCGATTTTAGCCTAAATGTTTTTTGTGTTTTTAATAAAATTACATTTTGTTTTTATGAAAATATGTAATTTGTGATGAATACGAGAAAAAAAGAATATACTCGTTTTTTTTAATTTTATATATTTTTTGGTGAGCTTGTTGGATTGTTTTTAATATTATATTTTTGTTTACAAAAAAAATATGTTATTTTGTGATGAATATGAGAAAAAAATATTTGTTTCTTTTTAAATGTTATATATTTTTGGTGAGCTTGTTGGATTGTTTTTAATGTTATATATATATTTTTTTACAAAAATATTTTT